AAATTAATTATACAAATCGATTCAGAACTTCTGGACCACCCTTTATATCAAAATACCAGCATAGATTAAAGTACCTAGGACTAATAACCAGAGATTACGTGAAAATGATTTTAAGAATGAGAACAGATCGATATTAACATCGGATGTTTTTCGAATAATAATACGCAAAGAATTATCAAATATAGCAATGAAAAAAATCGACTAATTCTCTTCGTGCAGCAGTAACAGTCACATCACCTATCACTATATCATAAACACCGTTATGTACTGCTCGAACTAATCCATTATATGTTTGATTTGATGGTGCTAATTCAATAGTTGGAATAAATCCCATGTTACTTTGTAAAAGTTTAATAAGATCATGAATATAGCCACTATATTGTATTGTGGTTTGTCCAGATGCATCTATGACTTTTTCAACGATTGTAAATGGAACTGATTCAATAATACCTATTCGTAAATTTACACCTTTGAGAATGGCTCCACCAATAGGTTGTGTTAATGAATTGCCAGACCATATTATAATGTTTTCTTTTGTAGGTATTCTCCAATCATTAGGATGAAAATATTCTAATACAGGAACAAAACTCAAACCATTCGAAGAAGGTTGAGCATTTTTTGCAGAATAATACAAACCAGTTATTCGATCTGTTACATTAAAACTAAATTGTATAGGACCAGATACACCAAGAAATTCTGTTCTACTAACTGCATCTGATAATAATTTAGAATGAATGAAACGACGATCAAAACAGTATGAAGATCCAATAAATGATAAACATGAAGAAGAAACATTTATTTTTGATGCACACAATTGTTGTAATGATTGAATTAATGTCCATGTTGCATCAAATGCAAATAATGCATAATTATCTACATTCATCGATCCAGGAAATGATTCAGGCACATATTGTTGCCAAATACTATATGCTGCATTTAATAATGTTGCATTAATTGGTGCATTGACAACGGATCCTACAGCTAGTTCAATCAGAAGCATTCCAATTAAGTTTTGATAAAATGTTTGATCGAAAGAATTTAATGGAACACTGCCACTTAGTATCCAAGTAAAATATGGACCAACTACATTAGAGTCAAGAGCCTTTTGCAAAATCAAAGATCTATAAATTGGTTCAGCCCATAACACAACAATTCGTGTTGCAGCACTAGTTAAAAGATTTTTCAAATCACCACGAATATTAAGTATAGAAATATCAAATACAATTATTTAGCTGACTATTAAGCTACTTTTATTAAAAGCTTCACTTATAGCTTTGAGGGTGTGGGTGTGCGCTTGTATGCTAGCATATCACCTACACCCACACCCTATGTTTCCAATTCAAATACATTTTCGTGGAGTCTATACAAATACTTTTTCTTAATAGGATAGACTGTAAATATGTATAATAATACTCGTTTTTGATCATTGTGTACATTGTAGGACTAACTGTTATTGATCTAAAACAAACTTTGTAATTGAAGATGAAGAATTAGTTTACACAAAAAGATTATCGAATTAATATATGTGATTAAAATGAAAAATAAAATTAAAAGTATCAGTTTTTGTCCAATAATATTACAAAGTATCTCTTATTCATATAAACAGATATTTAATCTTTCTATATTATATTCACGTAGTTTAGGTTGTATTTGCTATGTTATATATAGTTTTCTAAGAGTTATTGATTGGTTTTCTTTTCAACAGTTTTGTTGTCTAAGATTTCTCTTTCAAGAAGCAACACTAGCAATAACCGTTACGATGAACGTGTAAGCACAACTCGTAAAACAACAATCATTTCTTTTCGATGTTCACGAATCAAATGAAATAAACAAACAAATGCAATAACAGGACTACGTTCATCCAATGATGTTGCCCAAATATGAATTAATTCCTTGAATAAAACAAAAACTGTAGAAAAAGTTTTTCTTCTTAATCTGAATTTACTTAAACAAGTGCTTGACGAGTATTTGGTAAAATAATAACAAATGGAATAAGAGAACGAACATGTCGAAGAAGAATGCTTAGTGTGCTTGGAATATTAATCATCGATATGAGCTAAATTTATAAAGTAAAATATAAAATAGAATAATTTGTAAAAGAAAACCAAACTCGTGTAAAATTAAGTAAATATTTTTTCATAATGTTTTCAATATATTTTCAATTAGAACTTGTTTCCAGTTTTAATTTACTTGTTGTAACAAGTTTTATACGAAGAAATCGATATATTGTAGGTAATAATTGTTTAAGACATACACGAACAATTGCATTAAATGTTAAAAAAGAAAACATTTTAAGAAGTTCAAATGAATGAGAGATCATACATTCAGGATCATCGATTGCACCAGCTT